TCTCCTGTTTCCCGGAATGGGCGAGATTGTGGGTGGTTCAATGAGGCACACAGTTTATGAGGAACTTATGGAAGGATTCAAACGAGAAGGAATCGATCCAAAGCCATATTATTGGTATTTGGATATGTCAAAGTATGGTCCAAGTCCGCACGGTGGATATGGATTAGGCTTTGAAAGGCTGCTATTGTGTTTGATGAAGTACAAGAGCGTAGATCAAGCATCTTTGTACTGTCGAAAACCATCTAGGTGCACCCCATAATAAAGAACTAAACATACACATTTAGTTTATAACAGGTACTTGGATTTAGGTCTTTTACATCAGAATTAACCCTTGACTACGGCAACAAGCGATATTAATCAATATTCAATAAGTGTTTGCAGCAGTCACATACCATTCACACCAAGATGGATTTGATTACTGTTAAAAACTTTGTCTATGATCAGTGATCAAGGTATGTCCGTATTAACATGCCAACACAAGACATTTTTGGATGTTTATGAAGAATAATTGTTAGATCAATTATTAAAATCAAATAAAATAGATAGAGAGTAAAAACAATAAGTAGAGTTATAGGTTAGACGGTATAGATGCATCATAAAAGAGATGAACCTTAACAATACAAATCAAACAGTTAACCAATAAGATTCACGTAGAACCTATTGGATTATTTTGATGCGAAAATAAGCCTTTCAATAAGATTATTGACAGATATGCACATCAAATGTACATAAATAACATCATAAAACTAATAACAGCATCAAACGCTCACATAAATCCATTTGAATACTACAAAACATTTTTGAAACAGTTTTATTTCAAGATTCACATGTCACTCATATGATTCTCCTGTTAAAGCTATCGACAATTTTATGTCTGTGGCACATTAGTAGTTTCCCAGTCAGTGGTGTTACATTAAGCCAGCTTAGGAGTATTTTATTTGGAAACAACATGTTGCTTCAATACAACAAAAGTAGCTTTCTAGGCGCTACTTTGAAAGGAAAAGCCAAGAAATGGAAGGACAAAGCTGTGCATAACAAGAAGAAAGCAGATAAAGTTATTAAACATTGGAAAAAGGCTGTTAAACATGGTAAACACTACAGAAGACGCAAATCAATAGGAAGTTCATCATCTTCAAGCAGTTCAACAACATCTTATGATAGAAGAAAGCACGTTGCATTTCCAGGAATAGCAAATTTAGAAGATTCAGGTTGCAGTAGTTCAAGTTACAGTAGTAGAAAAAGACATAGGAGACATCATAGTTCATCAACAACAAGTAGCTGTGTTGATAACACGATTGAAACACTCTTCCCTAAGAAAGGTCGTCCATTACCAAAGAGAGATGACGTCTACTTCCTTGATGAGAAAGGCGGAATGAAGAAATCATATGGGCCATTCAAGGATGATGAAAGTAGTCCATTTTACTATCCAGGATTACACCAATTAGATGGTAAAATAGGAAAGAGAGTGTTATCAGACCAGGAATATAGGATTCATCCATCATTTATGTCCAAATTAGCAGATGGAGGATTCTATGAACGTAGAGTGATTAAACCAAAAGACGAGAAAGGAGCAGATGTCGTAGAAGAGCGATTTGGATACTTTCCAAAGACAGGAGGTAACTCAAATGAGTCAGATGAATCGAGTGAAAATCAACCAAAGAAGAAGCGTATGGGATCCAATCCTGATATGTCAATATTCAATGCATTTATGCCTACTCATCCACATGGTTCTGGCCTAAATCCGTACTCATACGGTACCATGTCACACCTTGAGACCAAAATAGACCAAGAATTTGAAGAAATGAGAAAGGCACAGGAAGGAAGCAGAATCAGGTTCAATTCCAACCAGGATAAGCTACAGGATAAAATAAACAAGGAAACAACCAGATTAGAGAACACCCTGGATACCAAGATAACCACAGATATAGCAAAGAAACAGTCTGAATTAATGGATGACGTAGACGGCAAAAAGAACAGGAAGTACAGTGACGATAGAATCAAATAGTGATCACCTTAAAACCAATACCAATAAACAGTATCAATTTGAGTGTAACAGAAATCCCTAACACGTTTCACAAGTTCGTTTTAAAATGGAACCAGTAACCTCAACATGCAACTTATTGGCGTAATCAAGCTGGTCGCAGCACACTACGTGATAATACAGCCATACGTCAACACCAACTCCATTTTATCAGGGAAACTCACATTTATACCAAAAGCACAGAATGATCAGGGAATTTGGTCAATGGACTTCAATGGGGACATGTTCAGATTGCGATACAAGAGCAAATACCTGGAGCCATCTGATGGACGAGCAATACTGGTAGGCGGAGATGAGAACATGAGGAAGCTTGCGAAGACTGAGAGTCTCGAGCCACTTCTCAGGGCACTTGGAAGCGAACACGCCTTTGATGATTCGAGCAGCTCGAACTCCAACTCGTCCACCGACTCATCCGACTACAGTGACAAGAATAAGAGAATTAGACACGAAATAGCCAATGGGGTGAGTCCAGGAATGTACCAGGATGGCAGCGGCAACTACAAATCAAGCGAGAAGAAGCGGAACAAGGACATGAAGAAGAGACAGGATGCAGAAAAGAAGGTTAGAAGTTCAAGAAAAAATGCAAGGGCGAATACGAATTCGTCTGATCCAGTGGTAGTTAGGCTCCTAGGAAAAAAGAAGTCGGATGCAGCACCAAAGAGCAGTGGCCTAGAAAAGAAGAAGTCGAACATGGCATCAAACCAATACGACAGTGTTGTGAACGAGACACAGCAGATGCAGATGAGTGGAGATGGCTTCCACTTCCATCTGATACCAGTCTTCCACAACTCATTCAGCAAGAAGATCATCATCCGATACATGGACAGCTGTCTGACCAGTAACATGGAGTTCAGGCCGTGTTCGTTCACCAACTGGTACAACCTGGCTGCCAAATACTACTGGCACATTTATCCTACAGTGAATAACACGCATCTTACGAAAATAAACGACTACTTGCAGAAGGTGACGATGAACTTGGCTACGAACAAGCGGAAGGACACAATCAACCTTGACGAGCTGCTTGCGATGCAGGGAATGTACGACGAGACGAAGATGCAGCAAAGCAGCTCATCGGACGACGAATACGAGGAATGTAAGAGAAACTGTAAGGAATGCTTTGGTGGAAGCGACTCAAGCTCATTCAGCAGCTCAGACCAGCTGAATGGGTCGTATAACCAGTGTGGAGCCACGCCAATGGAGCAGAATTGCATGCCAATGCAAAATGGTGGAATGGGAATGGGCGGAATGAGTTGCAATGGGCTGAATCCAAACTGTGGTAACACAATGGACTGTACGAACGTACACAACGGATTTGACGAAGACTGCTGCTCCAGAAGACGTAGGAGGAAATAACCATTTTGCATAAATAATATATTCAATCACATTCTCATTGCATAGGTGTGCAGTCTTTCAATGGTTTCTTCTACTGCGTCAGTCGCAGCTCGCTCTTCCTCGTCTTCCTCCCTGTGCTCCATTCTGTTGTCAATCGCCTTCCTGGCCACTGCGCCCCAGACCTGCATTGGATTCTCCTCGCATTTCACAAATGCAAGGCGCTTTGAGTCGTTTCTGGTCGACGTGGATGCCGTGAGACAGTCCTGGCCGTGGATGATTCTGAAGACGGCGCTGTTGTTGCTCGACGTCTTCTTGAACCAGAGCCCTGATTTCGCACCAGTCTTCGATGTCAGAAATATTGCATTTCCAGAGGCAACAGACCTGTATTTCCTGAAGAAGTCCTTGATGATTCCATTTCCCTCCTGGCTCACGTGGATCAGCAGCGTGGCCTTCTCAACCGTCTCCTTCTCAAATGGTATCAGGTCAAGGACCCTGTTGAGCGGATCCACCGTGTCGATTCTACCAACTGAGAGCACGAACTTCTCGTATCCCATGTTGAAAATGAGGAGAGGAGACTCCTGGAAGTTCTTTGGCATCGGTATCGCCCTAATTCCATTGACCAATGATATCAAATTCATATTTATTTATTCTGGCTGCTTTTTATTTTACGAAACACAGGATGAAACCATTCGACCTGATATAAATATTGTTTATTGCTTCTACTTCTGTTTGTTCATTGATCTGATTAGGGCACTGTACGTTCTGCCTGATGGGCTGGTTGGCGCATACGCAGCCCCAGCAAACTTGTAGCCGCAGCTTCTGCATTCCCAGATTCCAACTACCTCCCTCTTGACTGAGTCCTTGCCACACGACTTGCACGTGTATTTCCTATGCTGCGACTCCTCAATTCCCTTTATTGTCTTCCTCAGTGTTGATCCATATCTGCATCCATATTTTCCGGTGATTCCTGCCTTTTTTGTTCCCCGTGACATGGGTAAATTTTGTACAGGAATTACTGATTTGATGTTCTACGATTTATTTGAATTAATTTCCCCTTTCTATTCACTAAACAGCTGGCTGCTCATCTGGATCTCGTTGAAGAAGCGTGGATTGAGCTGCTCCCACAACTCATCGATTTCCTCTTGACTCTGCTCTATTATCAATGTGCATTTTTCTGGTAGCAACATAAAGGGCTACTTTCTCCTATGATCAATATGATCAATATGATATCAGTTACAAGATTACTGGATGTGATACTGTGCTTGAATATACCGATTCTTGTGACAGCTCATTATATAAAAAAGGGGTTAATATTAATTCAAATCACCACATTGATGGTATCCAGTATCATACTTCATATTTCACCTAATTTTCTGATACCAGGGAACTTCCCCAATTTACTTCAATTTAAACAGGTTCAAACTATCACAATTTAAACAGGTTCAAATTATTTTTACATTTTTTGCCCATCATGTCAGATCTCACTCTTGAACAAGTTGTTTTGAACAATCAGATTGCCACTGTGAAGATGGCGAATGATGGAATTGCATTCAAGACGGCTGGAGCAGCATTCAGTATCAAAAAAGACGAAATAAAAAACATGGAGATATTCAGAGGAATACAGAAGTACTGCTTCCGAATTGTGGGAGAGAAGGACGTCTACGACATTCTGAACGTGGATGAGAGCCACCTGCGTGACATCAAACAGAATGCGTCACAGTCGTATGGAATAAGCATCCCAACAATTGAGCTAGAGAATCTTGCTACCACTGACTGTAACATGATCTACAACAGCAACTTGCTCACATTCAGCAACGAGAGTGTCATCTGCTCCATTCCAAAGGGGAAGATCGATAAAATAGTTGAAATTGACAATGAGCTACAGTTTCATATAGGGGAGACTGAGGTGGTGCTATCGACCAAGAGCAAGGCAATAGACTTCCTAAAGAACAAGGTGAGTGAGGAAATATGTGTGATAAGCAACCTGAATTGCGTGAATCCACGATCCAGGTCTGCAATAATCTTCTTTGAGAAGTATTTTGAGTCTCGTGGCTCATCCTACGACCACATCGTATTCTACAAGAATGTGAAGGAGTTGCTGTTTCTGGGGAAGGAGAATGCGGAACAGTACATGGTGCTGAGACTGGAGACGCCTCTTTTACAGGGACAAACCAAATACGAGTCGATGGTATTCGCATTGGAGAAGAAGGAGGTTGAGGTGACTACGAAAGACAGCAGATTGAGATCGTACTACAACGGAACACAGGACGAGGTGGTTGTGGAGATATTCGAGGCGATGTTGGGAATCAAGGCCCAGACGAGCGAGTTCCAGGTGAAGTGTACGAACAAAATCAACGATGGGCATTTATTCTTTATGCAAAATGGAATACAATTTCTACCAAAGCCAATTTCAATTGGAGCAGCTGACGTGATTCTGGTTGAATTCAGCAGGCTGAATGTGTCAGCAATGCAGGCAAAGACGTTTGACATGGTCGTGCATGCAGAGAGAGCCAACTCGTTCAACTCGATCTCAAAGGACATGTTCTCACTCATAGAAGACTATTTCAAGGGCCACGGCGTCAAAATGGTCTCAGAGGTGATTGAGGACGAGTACAGTGGGCCATCGAACGAGGAAAGCGAATCAGAAAGTGACATCTCCAGCATCATAGCCAGGTCGGATGAATTGGATTAATTTCATAGGGGTAGTTAAAGTAGTAGTAAAATAAGCTTATTTTTCTAGTAGAAGAATCCCAAGATTGCGCCACCAGCCTTCATCTCGTTGCACTCGTTGTGGTCAATCACGCCCTTGCACGTCTTGAAGATGACGTGTCCAAACTGCCTGGCTGGCTTCAGCCTGTTTGCGACATCCTGTATCTCATTGCACTTGTACTTGAATCGTGGGCAAATTGCACCACATTTGGTCAGTCTCCCGTTGAGTGTGACCACAGCCTTCTCCTTGTTCACGCTCTGCACGAATGTGAGTCCGTTGATGTATCCGTGCTTCTTCATCTCTATCAGGAAGTCCTTGGTCTCCTGGCTTGTGTGCATCAACACCACTTGTTGCTTCTTTGCCTTAGATGCGTTGTTGATTGCTTTACATGCATTTGCTAGCACTGACATATTGGGCTAAAAAATTTATAAAAATACTAAGGCGTAAAAGAGACTAATTCTATTTACTAACTAACGGTGTTAATTCTTTCTTCTTCAAACAAAATAGTATAATGTTATTTACATCTCCTCATCCTCGTCTATCTCGGTGTAGTCTATGAATTTGATTGCACTTGAGTCAAAGACGCCCTCTTTCTCCACCACTGCGTCTCCTTCCACCTTCCTGGTGTCACCCCATGAGAAGTCGTCAAATCGCCAGAATGCGTAGGTTGGAAGAGCGAAGTTCCATATTGGGAGTGCTATGATGTATATAACCAGCCAGTAGATGTATTCGATCTTGAATGTGGTCAACATAATCAGTATGGCTGGTAGACCAAGAATGCATGCAAGCATAATTAGTGGAATCCAGGCTGGCTCATGCATAATTGAGCTGGCTATCAGAATGAAAGTGAAGAAGATGGCTGCTGGAAGGGTGAGCGTGCCAAACAGCTCGCAGACGATGATGAACTGCATTGAGAAGCATCCAGTGCCACACAGCTTGTCCACAACAGCCAGCTCAAACATGTTATGGACAGTCGAGTTGATCCATCTTCTTCGCTGTGATCGTAGCACCGCGTATTGGGCTGGAACACACGTTCTGCAGGTGGCTCGTGCCACGAAAACCAGCTTTCTCTTGTAGAAGTTCTTCATCAGAAGAGTCGTAAGATACCTATCTTCACCAAGATGAAGCAGGTTCTTCTCATGAAGGGTCTTGGCCTCAAACTGACTGTATGGGTTGATTATGATTGGATTGGCCAGTATTGGGACACACGTCCATGTCTCATTCAGCTGCTTCTTGTCCGTATAGTTCTTTATTTCTCCATATTGGTCTGTTACTATTTTTAGCCTATATGCGCAGAAACAGCCTGGTAAACAGGTTACGCCACCAAAAACAGACTCGAAGTTCTTAGCCAGGTGGTGTGAGATGTAGTACTCGAACACCTGGATGTTGGTGACCCACGTCTCGTTCTTGTTTGAGATCTGCGTCTCCCCACAGAGGCCCATGACCTTGTTGTCACTCTCAAAAGTGGCAGCCATGATTCCAACTGCCTTCGTGTCCACCACGGTGTCAGCATCCACCATCAGAAGCAGCTCGAAGTCGCCTGGCCTGAATCTGAACATCTTCTTCAGTTTCATGAACATGTCAACTTCAAGCTCACTCATTCTGTCACAGTAGAATATTTTGCTGAAGAAATTCATCACTATGACCTGACTGTCTCTCTTTCCCCTGTTTCCCTCTCTTCCAACCTCGTTCTCGTTTCCAGTCTTCTCAATCACCATCACCTGCGACCTGTTTGATGACATTGGATTCAGGTTGTCATTAGCGTAATACCAGCCAGTATGGACTCTAGCACGATTGTGTCTCTTATGGCCTGCTGTCAGTGAGATGTAGGATACGTCTGTTCCAACTGTATCAACAGAACAGAGATCAAGGACAATCTGTGGCGTAGTCATGTCTTCTCCTTCTCCCTTGATTTGTCCATCGCAAATCACAATAATCAGCCTATGCTCTTCAGGATACTCCAAGGAAGCAAGGGAGTTCAGGGTGCCACGTAGGCCGTCTCTGCCTTCAGAGTAGCACGTAACCTGCATGATGATCGGTGTTGTGCCACGACAAGTCGTATTCTTTGATTTCGAGTACCACGCATACATTAATGCAAGAAGGAATTTGACCATAATAAGAGCAAATATCATAATGGCACTGGAATAGAGGATGAGGTCTCCTATGATGCATCCATTGCTCTTGTAACTCACCTTTCCAGCCAGAAATGCGTCCTTGAAGCATTGTACGCAGTCTTCGTCGTACTTCTTCAGATTTGAGGCAGTTGCCTCTGTTCCCTTAAATGTCTTAATGAAGTCGTCCAATTCTGGTTCGTCATTTGTGGTTGGATCGTACACCTTTCCGTCTATGACTATGAATCCCTCTCTATCGATATCACTCCAGTCCCAATAGATGTCACTGAGTCTCATTATGTCATCTTCCTCAATATCACCGCTATTTAGGTCTGAATACCCAAATGCCTTCTTACATGCTGCTGAATTCTTCTGCAGTAGATGAGTGTTGTTTACTATTCCATGATCTGTTTCTGCCTCAAATATTGCTCCATTTCCAATCAGAATGTTTCTGTCTTTGAATGTCTTGGGTTTGAGCTTATTGAATACCATAATCTGGGAATTATTACATAGAAATCTATTGATTCCGTATGTCACCCCTGCCAGAAATGAGCAGTTGAGAAAGACTATCATGCACAATGCGAACTTCTCTCTCCACGCTTGCACCTGCTCATCCGATTCCAGCCCAGCCAATTTGCGTACCAAAATGTCAGGTATAAAAAATGTCATAATTTTGGCCGTATAGAACCAAACACCGGGTCCAGTGTTTTCGCGGGTGATTGGTGGATTCGGGAGGGCTGTTCTGGAACTGTTTCGGAGTATCTGTCCCTGACTCAGCATATGAGGGTTTGTTTGTTAGAATAACAAAACAATTGAAATAATATATAGATTCAGGTTTACTGTTATATTGCGCTCATTCTCTGCCAATTACTCAAGATATGCATCACTGTTCTTGTTTGTTATTTCCTTGTATACTTCATATGGCCTAGTCAACTGGATACTTTTGTCAGGTTTGTTTATGCTTTTTTCCTTATTGTTCTTTTTGGCCAGTATGAAGCAGATTCTATTCACTGACTCATTCAGGTACTTTATTGTTACTGTAATATGATCACGCAGTTCATCGTCTACCTCCACCTTGATACAATACTCCCCTGAGTCCATTTCTGGTGAATTTGGCCAAATTGAGCAGATGTGACCGTTATTTCCTATTCCAAGAAGAGCCAGGTCTATCCTTGTCTTCTTCAGAAGGTCGTTGTACTCCTCTGCCCCTCTCTTACTCAATGAATCAATCCTATTCACTTTTGTCTTTATGCTTAATAAATTGAGAAATTCAGTGCTCTCAGAATAGTTCAACTTGCTTTGGTCACACCTTTCATCTGAATAAAAAATAGACCACTTTTCTGTATCCATCTTTGAAATGGAACTGGACGCCAGTACAGTGCACAAACTGCCACCTGCTATCATAATATTGGCTTCCTTACCACTGTATTCCTCCAATATCCCAACAAGCAACTTCTGGATGTCTGTAACCCGTTCTATTTTATTGCTCATTTTAAGGGCAATAAATAATCAAATTCTATTACCTGTTTATTAATACGTTGTGTAAGTGGACTCATCCTCAACTGTGCTTATGCAGCAGCACATTTCGATAATTCTATCCCACAGACTCCTGGATGCTTCTGGCTTATCACCTGATTCAGGTGGCACATTTGATTTCTCAGCTTTCTCTGATTTATCAGCAGAATCCTGAACAGATGCCTGTGTGGATTCTTGAACTTGACTGTGATCAGATTCATTGCCTGTTTCGCCATCTGACTCCTTGTCAGTCTCCTTAGGCGAAGAGAATAGGGCAACTTCCTGTGGTGACATTGGTGCTGATTTCAGGATACAAGCACGAATTGACTTCTGTACAGTGGACTGGGCTGGTCCCTGTACAACTTCCTGAGATGATTCATCCCTAGGAATCTGAGCTGTTTTCAGAACGGAATCGTGAAAAGAAGCATTAGCAATCAACCACGCCTNTTCAGGATACAAGCACGAATTGACTTCTGTACAGTGGACTGGGCTGGTCCCTGTACAACTTCCTGAGATGATTCATCCCTAGGAATCTGAGCTGTTTTCAGAACGGAATCGTGAAAAGAAGCATTAGCAATCAACCACGCCTTTGTATCGGCAATGATCTTTGATGGTTTCCTTTCTTGGCCATTAACAGGTGGAATGGGACGGTGATAGATTGGAAGAGGTTGCTCAGATGGCCCTGGATCCGACCACCTTTGCAACGAGGAGCTCTCTTCACTCACATCACTCACGTTACTTCTTGCCCTTATTTCACTTGTCTCACTCTTTGCCTTTACATCAACTACCTCATTCTTTACCTTTACATCAACTACTTCACTCTTTACCTTTACATCAACCGCGTCAACTATCTCATCCTTTTCACCTGACAGTGATATCAACTTCTTCAGTGCCTCGCTTGTATCTTCGCTGATACGTTCTATTTCCTCTTTGCTCAAATCAGGTGCTGCCTTTGTAATAGGCGCATTTCCATTCCAGAAGACGTATGGTGAAGCCTCAATCTTCATATTTTGGCCATCCCAGGAGCACATGAACATCGCTGCTGTTTTATTGTCCTTATTTGCTCTCTTCTTTGCCTGTCTGATTGCACGTGCTGCTTCCTTAGCTGCCTTAGCCTTTATCTTCTTTCTCATTTTCCTTTTTAACTTCTTATCAGAGACTGGATCCTTTAGGTTGTCATCCAGAAGAATCACCTTATTGTCATTGAAGGTAGCCTTTGGTTCCTGTGTATTTTGATCAACGTCTTTTTCTTTATCAGGACCATTCTTGTCAATATCTTTATTGGGGGTCACCTTGTCAACGTCTTTCTCTTTATCAGGGCTCTTTTTATCAATATCCTTTTCTTTATCAGGGCTCTTCTTGTCAACTTCTTTATCAGGGCCTGTTCGGTCACCAGGCGGGGCCTTTGGGTCGATCTCG